ATATTGCTTAATACCAATATATAATGATAGTAGTTGTTATAAGTAAGATATTAGTTAAAAATTACATCGTTGTATAATATTGCGGATATCCTGTTGGATTATAAGCTGAGCCTGAATAATATGGTGATGCGTTATAGCCATTTGTAGGATATTGCCCATAACCATAACTGTACACCTGGTAACATTGATTATAAGCATCACACATCACTGGGTATTGGTATCCTCCATTTGCTGAGCCGCTAGCTTGAAGAGTGGATCCCTGTTGTATGGGTTGTATCATCATGGGTTGCATCATTGGCTGCATTGCGTATGATGATGCCATAATAGGAGTATTTCCCTCTTCTTTATCTTTACCACCGAGATCGTTTTTACTACCTCCAACAGATCCGAGAGATTGCTTATTATCGATGACTGATAAGCTCAAACCTCCTCCGTTGTCAGCTGTTCCCGCTGTATTAGGAACACCTTCTCCAAGCACCCCACCAGCAATATCATCAACAAGTGGGAGATCGCAATTAACTCTGTAAAGGAGAATAATTAAAGTTAAAGAGTTAGATATTTTAGTCATATTAAGATAGTCAATATACTTGAACTAGCGATATAATAAATAATAAATAAATAAAGTTAATTCAGGATAAGTTCAAACTTGACAGCAATAGTTTATTTATACAGGCTTCTTGTTAGTTGATTGACTATCATATCAACAGATTGAGGGTTATTTGATGAAATTCAATTGCCCAGAATGTTAATAGGGGTAGTGGTCAATTGGGATGTGTAATTGAGATAGTTTAGTTGGTAATATATGTAATTTGAACGTGTGGGGTTTAATTTAGCTTTTCATCGGGGATTTAATACTGATCTGAGAGAAATATGTTTGCAGTTGGCTTTGGTTTTTGTTATTGTATTAAAAACTAATAAATAGTGTGAATATTAAATCATACAAATAGTTTAACTTATGTTATAGTATATATTTTATATCATAAACTCTACATAATATATTGTAATAGCGCTATGCTTGATATTGAACTAAATACAGTATACCGATATAAGTTGCATAAGCGGTATATTTTATTAAGATAATATCCTTTGTTTTGAGAATTTCAACAGTTTCAACAAAAATTAATAAAAAATGATTTTCAATTTAAATTAGAACTGTTCAAAACACTAAGAGTTTTTAACTTAATTAAATTGATTAGCTAATTTGTTTATCAATAAACTTGTTCATTATATATGCGATTCAGAATAGTATTTAGCATTTGATTTTTATACATAATATACAATATCAATATTAAAAATACGCAATATATATTTACACACTGCATCGCTATTATAATAATATTATTATTAACATAAACAATTATATCAATTGCACAACTTCAATGCGTGGGATAAGATTAAAGTTTAATTTTTCTACCCAATAAATCAACCATCCATAGCTCATATTGATAATCTCTCGGATTAAGCTCGCAGTGAATAATAATAAAAATGTGTGTTTGTTTGTTTAAAAACTACAATAAAACAATACATCAAATATATAATTGATCTTTACTATTATTATGTATAAATTGCAATGTTTTGAGTTGATATTATTGGTCATTAATAACTATGTCTAACTCGTAAAAACTATAGAAGATTTTTATTAAGCAACATTGAATATTTATTATAAATAATGCAAGATGTAATTAAAATCAATTAGTATATAAGATAGCGTTAGCTCTTGCAGCTTATATTTTCATAATAACATACATTTATATTTTTAGGCTTAATTCTTCTATTTAAACTTTAAAACAGTCGTATTAATCACAGAACTGCATGTATAATGTTAAATTATAATAGAATAAAAACTTCAAGACTATTCTAGTTATTTAAGCCAAATGCCTTTTTTATGTTGTATTAGTAATCAATTGGATTTAAATTTCTCAAAAGTTATTAAATTTAATAATTATTATCCCATAATTTAATAAAATCATAATTAAAGCTGAAAAAAATAACGAATTTGTATTTATACACTTACAAAATAGAAAAATAATAATTTGTATTAATAATACAAAAATATAATAGATTAGTAATATTGTATAAATTTGATTATAGATTAATAGAATTTTTTTCCTCTTATATATAAATATTTAACATTCTATAAAGTTTATTCAACATGGTATTACCAACTTCCAAAAAGAATGTAGGCTTGGGCAAAGCTATGATTAGATCTAGATTTAGAGGAGGTACTCGTCCTAAGGATCACGATACTGATTTGGTTCATACTACTGATATGGACGATGGTCCAAGTTGGACAAAGCTTCAATCTATCACTCAAGAAGGAGATTTAGATTCTTTCTTAAGAATTGCTGAATTAGCCGATACCGACTTTACAGCTCATAGACAAAATGTTACAGTTGTGAGCGCTGAAGATAACAATCCCTTTTTAATGTCTAAAGACGAAGAATCAAGAGTTCAAAAATTACACAAAACTTTCCAAAATGAAGTAGTTATTCCCAGAAGACCTCATTGGGAAAAAACCATGACCGCCAGAGAAGTTCAAAGAAATGAACAAACTTCCTTCTTAGATTGGAGAAGAAGTTTAGCTTTATTACAAGAAGCAAATGGTTTATTATTAACTCCTTATGAAAGAAATTTAGAAGTTTGGAGACAATTATGGCGTGTTGTAGAAAGATCTCAATTAGTTGTTCAAATTGTTGATGCTAGAAACCCCATGACTTTTAGAAGTGAAGATTTAGAAAAATACGTTTCTGAAGTTCACGGTGGCAGCGTCGACTGTCTCTTATTAGTTAACAAGGCTGATTTACTCACTGATAGCCAAAGAGCTCAATGGGCTGACTATTTCGATAAAAATAATATTAAATATAAATTCTTCTCAGCTAAAATTTCCAATGTTGAATTGGAACGCGAGCTAGAACGTGAAATGGTAACTTTATCTTTTTTAATTCATTTAATTTCAACTAACTTAAAATCTAGGCTGAATTAAAACTTGCTGAACAAAAAGCCAAAGATGATGAAGATGAAGATGAAGATGAAGATGAAGATGAAGAATCAGACAATGATGAAGAAAACAAACCTGAATCTGCTGAACCAGTATTACCTGAAAACAATGATGATGAATTCTACCCTTCCGCATTTGGTAAATCTGCATCCAAAGATCCTCGTATTCAAATTTTATCTTGCTCTGAACTTCTCGACTTATTCCACGCCACTGCTCAACCCTCTACCAATCCTGAAATTCCTGAGCAATATCGTAATAAGATCACCATTGGTTTAGTTGGATACCCCAATGTTGGTAAGAGTTCCACTATCAATGCATTGATAGGTACAAAGAAGGTTGCCGTTGCATCTACCCCTGGTAAAACCAAGCACTTCCAAACGCTTCACTTAGATAATAAGACTATTCTTTGTGATTGTCCTGGTTTAGTTTTCCCTTCATTTGCTACAACTCAAGCAAATATGGTTTGTGATGGTGTTTTGCCTATTGATACCCTTCGTGAATACACTGGTCCCATTGGCTTAGTTGTTCGTAGAGTTCCTAAATGGTACTTAGAAGCTCTTTATGGTATTCATATCTCTATGCCCACTGTTGAAGAAGGTGGTGATGGTACTAACATTCCACAACCTGAAGACTTTTTGAAGTCCTATGCTATGGCTAGAGGCTTTACAAAAGCAGGTCAAGGTAATCCTGACGAAGCTCGTGGTGCTAGATATATTCTCAAAGACTATATAAATGCCAAATTACTCTATAATCACCCTCCTCCTGACTGTAAAGATGCTGAAGCTTTCAACAAGGAAATCTACTGTGTTGAAAACTTGCCCAAGAAGAAGCTATTCACAGCTGCAGAACCTACTAAACAGAAAAAGCTCTTAGGCACTAATACAAATCTATTAACTTCAAAAGCTTTAGATAGCCAATTCTTTACCAGCCAAAAATCTTTATCAGCCCATGCTATCTCCAAAGGCAAGTATCAAACCGATAAATTTGGACGTAGCACTGTTTACCCCCATCAAAGAATGGCAAATGCAGATGGTACGATATCACTACAATCATCAGGTCCTCAATCAGAATTCATGGTCAAGGATAAAAAGCATCGCAAGAGCAAGAAGAATGGTAAAGTACGCAATAGAATGGGTTATGATGTTTAATTTTATTTTATTATCATTATATCTCTACTAATATTAATAAGTTTTAAAAACTGTAATTTATTATAAATCAATATCCTATTTTTTAATAATAAAATTTTATAGAAACAAATATTTTGATGTTATATATTGAGTAATTCTGGTTAACTTGGTTTAAATTTTGTATGAGCTCTGTTCAAAATTTTAGTTTTTTATAACCAAGTTTTCATTGTGTATAGTCGTTGTTTAATAGAGAATTGATAATAATATTATATTAAAATACTATATTATCAACTTTAACTAATAAAAGATATTCTTAATAAGCTTTAAGCAGCTAAAAATCAAAAATATTGCATACTTTCCATATAAAAAATTTTTGGACTAATTTTCCTCATTTTAGCCAGAATTTTTCATATTATTTTCAATATAAAAAACATGCTATCATATAAAAGTTATGACACAAGCGGGCATATAATCAAAATAAATTGATAATATATTGAAGAATCAATATAGAATATGAGAGATTCTAGTT